GAGGGAGGAGGAGAGGGAGAGGCAGTTGGGGAAGGACAGGGGAGGGGAAGGGGGAGAAGGGGAGGGGAAAGGGAAGGGGAGGGGACAGAGGGAGAGCAGGGATGGAAAGAGGAGAAAGGGGGAGGGAGAGAGGAGGAGAGGACAATGTGGAAGAGGGGGAGATAGGAAGAGAGAGGGAAGAGAGGGGGAAAGGAGAGGAGGGAGAAAGGGGGGAGGGAGGGAGGAAGAGACAGGACAGGGAGAGAGGGGGAAGGAGAGAGGAGGGAGAAAGGGGAGAGAGGGAGAAAGGGACAGGCAGAGAGGGGCATGGCAGGGAGGGAGAGGGGAGGAGAGGAAGAGAGGAGACGGGGGACAGGGGCAGAGGAAGTGGGGAAGAGTGGGGAGGGGGCAAATGGGGAGAGGGTGGAGAGAGGGAGAGGAAGTGATGGGGAGAGGGAGATCGGGGAGAGGGTGGGGAGAGGGAGAGGGGTGGTAGAGGAGAGGGAGAGGGAGAGGGGGACGAGGGAAGGAGAGAAAGGAGCAGAGGGAGATGGAGAAGGGAAGGGGAAAGGAGGAGGGGAAGGGGAGGGGACGAGTAGGAGATGGGGAGAGAGAGATGGGGAGAGAGATGGGGAGAGGGAGTGGGGAAGATGGGGAGATGGGGAGAGGGAGAGAGGGGGAGTGCAAGAAAAAATGGGAGGGAGATGGGGAGAGGGGGAGGAGCTGATAGAGAGGGAGAGGGAGATAGGAGAGGGGGAGATGGAGAAGAGGGAGAGAGGGATGGAGGAGGGAGGCAGAGGAGGAGAGGGAGATGAGAGAGAGGGAGGAGAGATGGGGAGAGGGAGAGGGGTAGAGGGAGTGATAGGGAGAAGGGGTGATAGAGAGAGGGGGTGATAGCGAGAGGGGGAGATGGGGAGAGGGGTACTTAGGGAAGGGGTAAGAGGGAGAGAGGGGGAGAAGGGGAGAGGGAGATACAGAAAGAGGGAGAGGGGATGAGGGAGAGGGGGAAGTGGGGGATGGGGGAGAGGACAATAGAGAGAGAAGGGCACAGGGGAGAGAAAGAGGGAGACAGAGGGAGAGGGGGACAGAGGGAGAGGGGGAGAGGGGCACAGGGGTGAGGGTGAGGGAGAGAGAGGGACGGGGGCCAGGGGAGAGAGGGAGGGGAAGAGGGAGACAAGGGAGAGGATGAAAGGGAGAGAATATCGGGATGGGGGAGGGAATGAGGGGGACGGGGGTGAGGGAAAGGGGGAGAGGGAAAGAGGGCAAGTGGGAGAGGGAGATGTGGGAGAAGCGGGGAGAGACAGACAGAGAAACTGAGACAGAGACAGACAGAGGCTCTGCGTGCCTGTGGACGCAGCCCCACCCCTAGTGGACAGCACCACCTAGTGTCCTCTCTGTGTTCATCAGGGGTGCTAAAGACCGTGCCGGGTTGTGTCCCTGGATGCTGCTGGCATCTTAAAGATGTGACGCCGGTGCTGCACTGAGACACGGCTGCTGTGGAGCCAGGCCCCGGGCCACACGTCCCCAGGTCTCCCCTCTGCCCCTGCCCTGGCGATTTCCACAGGAAACGACTCGCTGTCCCGCGCAGGGTGTGCACACAGCAGGGCCCAAGAATGGTTAAGAAGAAGCAGCCTCAGAAGAAAGGTGAGACCAGGTGTGAGGTCAGGGAAGGAGCACAGCCCACAGACGTGCCCCTGCATGCACGCACGCCTGCCTACACACGTGCCCTTGCACGCGTGCATGCCTGCCCGCACACATGCTCTTGCACACGTGCATGCCTGCCTGCACACATGCCTGCCCTGCGCAGTGCACTCGAGTGCTGTCTGAGCAGCATGGCCACAGGACACGGAGCCCAAGCGCCGCACCTTTAGGAGTGCTCTCCTCCGTCCTAGTGGCGCCGGGATACGTGCCCATAGGAAAGCAACCTGCCTGATCGGGACCACAAGTAAAAGCACAAATGCTGTGTCAGGTCCCAGGGTCACGTTCACCGAGACAGGAAGCAGAGTCCGTGTGGCCGGGTGGCAGGGGCAGCTGAAGACCTGGCACCCCGCAGGGACAGAACTTCCAGGGGAGGTGGCCACAGTTCT